CTTGTGTGCTCTTGTGTGTCCGGAACTACAGTGCCCACAATGCCTTTCGGGGCGTGGGCTTTTCTCTGCTTCCCCTCCTCCTTTCCGAAGTTGTTGTTTAAGCCCGTGGGGGAGGGGGGTGGAGAGAGGATAGGAGGCGGAGAGAAGGGGCTGGCCTAGCGCTTTACTGCTGGCTCCTAGAGTGGAGAAGGTGTATGTTGCTCTCTAATTTGGATATCTGCCCAGCCACCTCCTCCCCAGAAGGCTGTTTATAGCCAGTTAATTTCCCATTCTGTGTTTCTGTATGTTTCATATTAAAAAGCAGTGTTTTGTACAGGAGTTTGATTAGCACCCGCAAATTCTCTCCCCCTCCGCCTTTATATGGTACTGTAAGTTTTACCAATTGGCTTTTTCCCTCACAGAAGGGAGACCCCTGGGTTAGTGGAAAGAGCTCAGGCCTTTGTGTTGACATGCCTGGGTTCCCATCCAGCTGATTCTAGCCTTGTGACCCCGTGAGCCTTTTTTCATCTGTGAAGTGGGAATGATAATACCTGTGAGAAACGAAAGAGTTAAGTTTCCATATAAGTAGATAAGAAATCAGCACAGATTGGCTAACTTCTCCATGGGGGGGTGACAACACAATTCTAGGCACACAATGTATGTTAAGGGGAGAGCTTATAAGGAACATTGTAACCCAGAAGGATTAGGACCAATCATGATTCAGAAGGGAGAAGGTAGGCAGTTACTAACTATAAAGCTTGCTCTAGCTTTTTAACTTGTCCACTCTCCACTCCAAAGGAGGTGTGGAAAGGATACACTTCAACCTCTTTAATAAAAAGTCTTTTAGACACCAGTCTTTGAAACTGAGTCTAGGGTCATCTTTATAACATACCTGAAGGACCTTTCTTAGAGAATTGCTTTGAGGATCAAATGAGATAATGTATGTAACTACCTTTGTAAACTTTAAAATGCTTATATAAATGTTAACCTTATGAGTGCAAGTATTTCACTATCTCTGTCTTATAGATGAAGAAGTTTCAGAGGTCAAGTGATTTCTCTGTGATTACTATGCTCATAACTACCTGAGCTGGAATTTGAGCCTGAGTTTCTTGTGTGAAAGTACAAGCCTTTTATTTCGATGTGGTTTTGATATTAAGATGTTGCACTTTAAATTCTGGCCGAGTCTTTATGAGGGGTGATCTCTAGGTCCTGACTTCTGGGGAAAGTGGTCTAACTTTGTTACCAGTTTGTTCTAGTACTAGTTTGGGTCCTCAAACATTCTCATAGAACTTTGTATCTACTTTTTTTTCTACATTTTTTCCTCAGTTACATGTAAACTTTTTTTTAACATTGATTTTTTTTAAGTGTTGAGTTCCAAATTCTCTTTCCCTTCCTTCTCTACCCCCCTCCTTGAGAAGGTGAGCAATTATGCATGTGCAAAACATGCAAAACATTTCCATATTAGCTATGTTGTAAAAGAAAATTCAGACAACAAAAAAAAACCAAAAGAAAACCTGAAAAATAAAGTAAAAAAAGTATGCTTCAATCTGCATTCAGACTCCATCAATGTTTTTCTCTGGAGGTGATAGCAGTTTTTCTCCCTAAGTCTTTTGGAATTGTCTTGGATCACCATATTGTTGAGAATAGCTAAGTCATTCCCAGTTGATCATCATACAATATTGCTGTTATTGTGTACAATATTTTAATGGTTCTATTTGTTTCACTTTGCATGAGTTCATGTAAGTCTTCCCAGGTTTTTCTGAAATCATTCCATTGCACTGATATACCACAATTTGTTCAGCCATTCCCCAAATGATGGGTATCCCCTGAATTTCCTATTTTTTGCCATGACAAAGAGTTGCTATAAATGTTTTTGTACATATAGGTCCTTTTCATTTTCCTTTGGGATCTAGTAGTAGCATTGATAGGTCAAAATGTTGAGGTGTAGGGGTTTAGGGGTACTTGAACCCCAAAATCACGAGACACAGGTCCTGCCTGAAAGAATTCAATCCAAGCCTTCTTTCAGCTAAAGACAAGGTTTATTAAAGATGGACCATATAGGCCAGACTGTTAAGGAATCTGAAGGTTTGTGATGCTCATAAGGACAAGCGGGCATGAGGAAGTCTCAGCCCTTAAATGGCAGCCAGGATGGATCTTATATGCAGCCAAGTAGTTTGGGGTGACCAGAGAAGGGACTAGGAGGAGGATCTTGAAGCTGGAGGAATGTCTGGGAGATTGAATGGGGTCTGGATAAGATCTGGGATGGGATATATAACCCAGGGCTATTAGGCCAGTAATAGACTAATAAAGGGCTAGGCTTAAATTAGGGTAACAAAGAACTGGGAGATAGGGTCTAGGGATAAGGATAGGAATAAGAATAAGAATAACTTCTGGGGACTACTAGACTTTCTTGACCAGGTAAAAGTTCAAAGAAAGTTCAAGGGTTTTCTGGGGTCTGTAGACAAATGGCACTCAATCTTTTTGGGGTGAGGTGCAAAGGTCTCAACTTGGGCCATATCCCATCAAAAGGGTATGCACAATTTTATAGCCCTTTGGATATAGTTCTAAATTGCTCTTCAGAATGGTTGGATCAGTTCACAACTGCACCAATAATGCATTAGTGTCCCAGTTTTACCACATCCCCTCCAATATTTGTCATTTCCCTTTTCTGTCTTATTAGCCAATCTGCCAGGTGTGAGGTGATTCCTCAGAGTTGTTTTAATTCACATTTCTCTAATAGTGATTTAGAACATTTTTTTCATATAACTGTAGATAACTTTTATTTCTTCTTCTGAAAACTGCCTGTTCATATCCTTTGATCGTTTATCAATAAAGAAATGACTTGTATTCTTATCAATTTGATTCAGTTCTCAATATACTTGAGAAACGAGGCTTTTATGAGAGAAACTTGCTGTAAAATATTTTCCCCAGTGTCCTTCTTTCCTTCTTTCCTTGGCTGCACTGGTTTTGTTTTTGCAAAATCTTTTTAATTTAATGTAATCAAAATTATCTATTTTGTATCCCATAATGCTCTCTTATGTTTTGTTTGGTCATAAATTCTTCCCTTACGCCTAGATCCAAAAAAAATTTTCCATACTCCCCTAATTTGCTTATAATATCACCCTTTATGTCTAATTCATGAACCTATTTTGACCTTATCTTGGTATACAGTGTGAGATGTTGTTTTATACCTAGTTTTTGCCGTACTATTTTCCAGTGTTCCCAGCAGTTTTTGTCAAACAGTGAGTTCTTCTCCCAGAAGCTTGGATCTTTGGGTTTGTCAAATGCTAGATTACCATGGTCATTTATTACTGTGTATTATGTATTCCACTGATCCACCACTCTATTTCTTAGTATCAGATAGTTTTGATGAATACTGCTTTGTAATACAGTTTGAGATCTGATATTGCTAGGCTACCTTTCTTCACATTTTTTTCCGTTGATTCCTTTGATATTTTTGACTAGATCTACTTCTTTATCGTATTTGTTTGTATACTTATACTAAATCCCTGTTGAGTATGATAGATTTCTACACTCAATTGAATGTATATATTTATTTATATCATACTATATTATTTATATTACATATATAACATTCATACATATATATATTTTTCCTCCTCTTTTTGAACCAATTCTGATCAGAATGAGATTCAAGTGTTGCTCAATCACCACCATTTCTCCCTTCACTGTAAAAATTCTTCCTTGTATACCTCTTTTATGTAAGATAATTTTTCCTATCCTTCCTCTCTCTTCCCTTTTCTCCCATTGCATCTCTCTTTCTTGCTTATTAATGTTTTTTAGATCATCCCAGCATAATCAAGTTATACCCATGCCCTCTGCCTGTGTAGATGCCCTCTAACTTCCCTTATGATGATAAAAGACTCAGGAGTTGCATATATCATCTTTCTAAATAGGAGCATAAACAATTTAACTTATTATTGAGTTCCTTATTATTTCTCTTTCATGTTTACCTTTTTACGTTTCTCTTGAGTCTTGTGTTTGAACGTCAGATTTACTACTTAGCTCGGCTCTTTTTATCAAGAATGCTTAAAATGCTCTATTTCATTAAATATCAGTTTTTCTTCCTGAAGGATTATACTCAGTTTTACTGGGTAGGTGATTCTTAGTTGTAATCCTAGCTCCTTTGCCTTCCAGAATATCATATTCCAAGCCCTCCATTCCTTTAAGACGGTAGCTGCTAAATTTTGTGTGAGCTTGACTGTGGGTCTATGGTGTTTGAATGGTTCCTTTCTGGCAGCTTGAGATATTTTCTTCTAGACCTGGAAGCTCTGGATTTTGGCTGTCTTATTCCTGAGAGTTTTCATCTTGGGATCTCTTTCAGATGGTGATTGGTGGATTCTTTCAATTTCTGTTTTACCCTCTGGTTCTGGAATATCAGGGCAATATTCTGTTAATAATATCTTGAAATATGATGTCTAGGTTCTTTGTTTAATCATGGCTTTCAGATAGTTCAGTAGTTCTTAAATTATCTCTCCTTAATCTGTTTTCCAAGTCAGTTGTTTTTCTAATGAGATACTTTGTTTTCTTGTATTTTTAATTTTTTTGACTTTGTTTTATTATTTCTTGATGTCTTGTGAAGTCATTAACTTCCCACTGCCCACTTCTAATTTTTAAGGAGTTAATTTCTTCCTTATTTTAAGGAGTTATTTTGTACTTCTTTTTCCATTTAGCTAATTCTTTTTTTTTCTTAAGAAGTTATTTTTATCAGTGAAGTTTTGTGCCTCTTCTTCCATTTGACCAATTCTGTTTTTTTAGGTATATTTCCTTCAGTATTTTTTTTGTGCCTCTTTTAGCAAGTTGTTGTCATTTCATTATTTCCTTATATTGCTCTCATCTCTTTCCCCACTTTTTCCTCTATTACTCTTATTTGATTTTGAAGACCATTTTTTAAGCTCTTCCAGAAATTCTTGTTGGGCTTGTATCTAACTCACACTTTTTTTTTTCCTTTGAGGCTTTGCTTGTAGCT